AGTGTGACAATGTGATAGTTGTGTTTATATATCGAGTGTCACGCTGGAAATGTCTAAACAAGTCTTTCGTGTGTGTTTCAGTTTGGATAAAGCTCTCCACTCTGCGGGCATCAGCTCTGGGTTCATCATCTTTGGCACCAACCTAACCAATCCTCTCAATGAGCTTCTGTTAGCCTTACAGCCTGTGAGTATCCTCTCATCGCTCTCGACCAAAAGATGATTACTCAGGAGGAGCCTACAGTGTGCATCCGATCAGGATCCATTATAAACCTTTCTCTGTCAACCACATTCAGAAATAAAAGGTCTCTCAGTATAGCGCAGTGTATAAAAGATGAATGGTGAGTACGTTTACAATATCTGCATTAGGCACAAATCACACTGCTGTCCGATCATAAAATATCATAAATCAAATTCTAATTACATGATTTAGCATTTTGTAATCTAAGGCATGACCTCTTGAAAACTGGTTAATGAATCAAAATGTATTTCCTGTTGTGTGTTTGTGCCCTATAAATAAAATAAAAAGGGAATCATGTTTATTAGTTTTTTAAAGTCTCGAGGTCAGTGTTGTGTCTGGGGGTTGATGGGAAACTTGGAGCTTAAATATTCTGGGTATTTATCAATCTTGAAATCAGATTAAAAAGGGCAAAAAAATAAAACCACAATGTGAATCTTTGTATCCCATTTAATACCTTTTTATATTTTAATGTGATATTGCCCCAAAAAATAAACCCATTGAGATGCACACATTATATCACGACTGTTGCCTCCAGGTCATTGCTGCCTTTCAGTTAAACTTGGTATTCAACAGCAGAATGTAGAGGGAGAGAAATGACTGACAGCTCCGAGCATTTAAGAATTGCTTCATAGACAGTAGCATTGACTAACCGTCTACGGCCAGTGTTTAGATGTATGACCTTGGTATTTAAGGAATTAAATCAGAGCATTACAGGTTGCAAAACATAATCAATAATATTTATTTATATATATTTAAAAGTAAAAGGGTAGGAATACAGTTTTAACAATGTCTAAATGCGCTGCACAGTGACCAGCTAGCTCTGCTTTAGATTAGTCGGGCTAGACTAATTGCTGTTGATGGTAGTTCAACAGCTCGAAGCAACCTTGAGAGGAAAGCAGCCTAAATGTTTGGCCTCTACGTGTGTGTGTGTGTGTGTGTGTGTGTGTGTGTGTGTGTGTGTGTGTGTGTGTGTGTGTGTGTGTGTGTGTGTGTGTGTGTGATGTAGCTGACCTCTGTCCCTGGCTTCATAGGTCTTCCCATTGGATTACATCCTGATCACAGTCATCACCATGTACTTTGTGGTCACTTCCATGGCTGGCATTCGCAACATGGGCATCTGGTTCTTCTGGATAAGGGTAAGCTAAGACACTACTTCTGTGTCAAACTTTATGCAAATATCCCAATATTATCATTGATGCTAACAATATCAACATGTTCTTGTATTTCAGCTGTACAAAATCCGACCAAAGAAAACTCGCCCCCAGGCTCTGCTGTTCCTCTGTATGATTCTTCTCTTGATTGTCCTTCACACCAGCTACATGATCTACAGCCTAGCCCCACAATACGTCATGTATGGCAGCCAGAAGTATCTTGTACAGGTGAGGAACAACGTACATGTTGTATTTCTAGTCTGCTCTGAGAACTAGCTCTGAGGACGGGCCTCTAATGGTGGCAGTGTTGGCCAGTTAGCAGGTTCAAACCACTCCGGTCCCAGCTGGGTGATAGCGGGGCTTTCAAACTCTTGTTCTTTCTGTATTCTATATTATATACGGCTTTTACTGTGTAGGTCTGTTGTTTGCCGGTATTTTCTCTCGCTCTCGCTCTCTCTCTCACCCTTGCGTTTATCCTTCGCTTTGAAAAAATATTTTGAACACCATAATTGAAATGAACCACACAGTGTTGTTTTTGCTGAACCATCCTCTTTCTAAATGAGAATAAAGAAGCAGCTCTATATGACTCACTGGCGTATTCCTCTCTGCTGCTGTCTGTTCACTTTGAATACATTCAGTGTAATTTATACCAGCCTAGCATATATATATATATATATATATATATAGTTAATTTAGTGATCTTGTACATTCCTATCTTTTTCAGTGAAAGTTATTCTGAAATAAAAATGCCTCTGTTAGGATCTGAATTATGTCTATTTATTTAATTTAACAATGGCAAAACTCAGGCATCATATGGAACCAATGTTTTTTTTATTTTGTCATTTTATCATTTATGAGTAAAAGGCTGCTGCTGTTGGGTGCAGTTCTAGTATTATAGATGTCCAGAGGTTGTGATTTAACGGTCCTTATTGTCAAAGCCACGCTTAGTTTGTACAGCATGCAGTGGTTTGTAGTGTTTCGTTACTAAACAGATGCATGCCTCTTGTGTTTTCTGATCGGAGTCAGATGCCCTCAGCCAGTTCTACATCTGGGAATGCTACTCTTGGCACCACAAAGACCTGTGATGCTGATGCGCCTGAGGGTAAGTCTGTCATCTCTGCTAGCACAGTAAGGTCGCACCGGCCCAACACTGAGATGTTGGAGGAACTTACAACATGTCATCAAAGATTCATTCCTCACAAGTCAAGTCCATACTAGAAGGAAGGAAGGAAGGATGGTGTACAACCCAACCGTTTGGTGTAGAACACTGTTCAGTGATCTTTATCACCCTGCATTATTCACTATAGGGAATAATACCAATGACAAACATTTACTAATGCAGTATATGTGCTCTCCTGCTGTCTCCATGCCAACACCTATTACAGTAAATCAGCCATGAAAACACAAACGTGTGAATATACTTCATACCGGTGAGCTTTAATACAATCATTTATTCATTTGCCAGACTCTTAAGTAAGGCTCTTGTTGGTGGTGGAGTGGATATGTTGGAATTGTTATATTTATTTATATTATCTGTTTACCTATATGTTTACCCATCTGTCCGTCTATTAAATATAATTTAGATAAATGCGTTTTTGTTGGTGGAGATCTATTAGTGTGGGGAATAAATCTTTTTTTTGTGGGGCCATAAGTGCTCTCCCAGAAGCTGCAGAATTGCATTGCAATTAGTAGCTAATGAGTGTTGATGTGTTTAAATGTCAAATATGCCATTAATAATTAGAGTAAAGTTCACGTGAACGGTTGAATGGGAGAGGTACATTCTTACAGTCAATTAGATACTAGGCATGTTTGATATGTCCTAAATATTGCATCGTATGTTTTCATAAACGTATCCCTTGGTATGTTTGTAGCAATATAGTCACGGATATTATTTATAGGTTCTTTGGGTTCCATGTTACGACACATCGCCACAGTGTGTCAGCTCCTGTTACGAGGTTCCTCACACTGTCTCCCATCGCCATTAAGAGAAGCATGCTGGTGTGGATCTAATGTGGCAGGAAAGTACACCTGAATACAGCAACGATGTTGGGGATAGCCATTACTGACTTGGTTTTCATGAATAATTTTCCCTTTATCAAACATCACTGAAAATGCATCAAGACAGGCAGCGACTGGCAGAAAATAGAGGGATAAAGCAGAGGGCAGGAGAGTAACTGCAGAGATGAAAGGCGAGATATTCTTTGTTTGCAGTAATCTGATGTGAAGACACACTTCCTGTGGGTATGCTGAACTGTTTTTGTACATCGTAGCAAACGGGCTTTGCCCAAATTAATTAGCTGATCAGTTTTTTGCATAACATTGCTGTTGAATCTCTGTTGTATTAGTGGAGGTGAAGTTACAGGAAGAGGTGGCATACTGTTGGTAGTAGATATATGCAAGATATTGCTGCATTTGTTCACAAAGTCTTCAAGGTTGAAAAATGACTGATGTTGAATAGATTGCTCTTCGTTATGCCTCAATTCAGAGCACTGCAGTGCAAATTCAAAGCCACGTTGTACGACACACCATTCGTTATGTGGTCCTATAAATGTGATGATGAACTTTACTTATACAGCACCTTCCAAAACAAAGTTACAAAGTGCTTAACTTGGTTAGAACAGGAAAACACAAGAGAAAATAAGCATTTTCAGCACTGCTATGAAAAAATCAGGCATTTGCAATGCATAGAAATATAACATCAAGAGTAGTATATCAAGATAGAAGGCAGTGATATTAAAAAGATTCGGCATGTTGGAAGTAAGATGATGTGCTCACAGTAATAAAACACTTTTTATGAAAAGATAAGTTTTGAGAAGTGAATTGAAATGTATTACTGTTACTTTATGTTTCATTAAAGTAGAATTTTATCATATACGTACTTCTTAAATCCTACAGTGTGCAGGAGGAGGTTGTAATGTGTTCAGTTTCTGTCTCAGACACACAGTGGGTGGACTGCACCGTCAGTGTCTCCACTACAGCTTAACTACAGCACAGAATTCTCTTGTATTTATTAATTAAAAGAAATCCTGTAGTTCAATCCCACAGAAGTTAGACAGACTGATTGGATACTGATTATTATTATTATTATCTTTGGAATGAGATTATGTATTCGGTCGTGTGAGTGCATCTCTATGTCTGTTCACAGCTAATCTCGCATATTACTGGATCAATTAACCCAATGTTTTTTGTGCTTTAAAACATTTATTATTGCGGACATATTGTATTGACTGCTATTATACCGTCATACGTGCAAGTTAAAAACGTGTCTGATACCCTTTGTAATCTAGTTTGTATTCATTCAGTCAAACATTGCACCAGTGGTCGTTGCAGACACACCTGGCTGACACTACTGATGTACTTTTTTAGATGACAAGAAAAGGCCACATTCTGTTGTAGTTTTGTCAGTTTATTAGTGTGTGTGTACAGAAATGCATAATCACCTTTTGTGTGATTTTCTGTTGAACTGAAAGGTGATCTTGTCATGGTTGACAGATGTGGTGACCTGAATGGGGCCTTGTTCATTTACAGTACATAGGGTAATCTTGAGGCAGAATAGTTCCAACTACAGGCTGAATCAAGAGAGAACCAGAAGTCATTGGTATCAGCAGTGGGTTTAGTTGGTTGGTGACGATATCCAGGTTACAACATGGAGGGGCGAATGAACTAATGTCTTAAATAAGCATACCTCTTATATAATAATAATACACTCTATTCAAACAGCACCAATACAGGAGGCCCTATTCTCATGAAACAAATGGCAGGCAGTAGTCAGCAGTTGCTATTTCAATGGCCAGATGGTGTTCCTCTTTCAGATGAATCCGGTTCTTTATTTACACATTTGCCACTATGTTACCCTTATATTGTATAATGAGAACCAACTATATTTTAAAGACAATGATCCAGTCACCTGTGCAATTACAACAGCTTCAAGTAACATTTTAAAAATTAAATACACAATTATTTTGGCTGCCTTTAATTACATTTACTTAAGCATTGAATACGGTTGCATTCAATGAATCCAGCTATGTTTACATGTGACAATAATGCAAACACTGCCAACATATAGTGATTACATAAACGAACAATCCCCCATAATACTCCTGTTTACATGACTATTCAGACGGAATTGTGGAAGTTAATTTTTGTCCTTGTTTGTATGGTTGTTTGTTTTTTCTCAAGCAAATAATTAGTTTCCTGTCTCACAATTGAGGCAAACGGATTCAGCCATGATGCTGCACCACTTCCTCCTTTTGGTTTGTTGCTGTCTGGAAGCTGTATTGTGTCTGACTAGAAGAGAAGTTAAGGATAGCTGTGAAAGTTGAGCTGGGTTAAAGAAGTGAAATAAAATCAAATGTGTTGCCGGCACCACAGAAGCCTCAATTTGCAGAACCAGAAGTCAGCTTTTGCCCATTCAGTGTTAATTACCGAGCGCACATGTCAAAGGATTGCGGGATCTGTTAATCCACACTGTTATGCTCGAGGAGTCGTGGTGCCAGAGTCACCGGGACAATGACAAATAGTATTTCTGGTCGCTCCGTTGAGCAGCGCAGGGATCCTATTTTGGCCATCTTGGAAAAGGCTCCTGCTTTCATAACAGCCATTGTACCACCTACCATGAGGAGGAGGAAGTGTCAAGCAGAGACAACACATGTGACTGAGAGGGAATATAATCACAAGCTTTATCGACTGATATGCAGGAGAAAGTAACAGCTGAACAATCTCATTTGTGTGGTGCAAGAGTGCAACTCTTTCTTACAGAAAGCAGTTTTTTTTGCCCAAAGGAGATTCAACCGACCACCTCATCTCATGTACTTCAATAATCTTTCTACTCCAATCTTTTCTAGAGTGTCCGTATCAACAACTTAAATGTGAAATATCTTGATGATTTTTTTTTTTTTTTTACCGTAGCATGACCAAGAGATTCACAAACATGGATATGAATTGACATTTTCACATTCTCTAAATTTCAGGCTCCTCACTGTGGATGTGAAGAATAGGAATGGGAATACACTGTGGTAGTAAATGGCATAAGGTTTAAAAGAGGCTGTGGAAGGGCATCGCTTTGTAACAACCTTTAGTGTGACACCGCATCCAACGACCGCTGAAGGCACAAGAGGGCACGAGTCAAACTGGTGCCTGATTGGCCGGTTGGTCATAGCGATGTAATGACACTAACATCTTGACGAGCTTGGTGCCAAGCTCTCCATTATCTACTCGGTGGTCATTACCACGCCATTACTCATTTGGAGTACGTACTCAAATGGAAATGAATCCTCAGGAATTAGTTGATGTGGCCAAAGGAAACCTGAACCCTGAAGTGCTCTTCAGTGTGCGATTCAACACACGCAGTGTTTTTTTATCTTGAGTATCGGTAGTCATGCTGCTTTCCTCCTTATTTTAGAAGCTGTTTACTTTAGCCGGGGAAAAACGTAATCATTGTCCTTTTATTTTATGTCCACACTCATTGATACAAACTTAAGCCCATACTACTCTAAATCCAAGTATGGTTTTAGTATATGCAGTCACTTTATTTTACAGTTATTTTAATGAGTAATTATATTAATGGACTCTCAGCATTAGATGAGGCTGCTCTTTCAAATTATTCTTACCAGTATGGAGCTCATGGTGGGCGAGTTGCTTTGATCTTAAGCTCTGACTTGCATCGAAGCTCTTCTACGTCTGCTGTACCGCTACCACCTGCCATTGTCAGGAAATATGCTTTATATGTTCTACTTATCACCTTCTTGGATCTGATGATCTGACACTTTATGGGGTTTTTTTTTCTTCTTCTTTCTGGCTGACATTTGTCTAATAGTTAAGGATCTCAAATGTTAATAATGCATTAGATCCATTTCAACAGGCCTTTATCTCACTCGTTGATGCCTCCATCATGGATTTATCTGTCCATTTCTAATGATCACTCCCTCACCCGAGAGATAATGCGTCTCCTCTGTTGTTTATTGCCACTGCGTTTACGCCTCCATCATCACATTTGCAACTCCCATCATTGGTTGCATTAGTTCCCTGGACAGTCTGCCCAATGATCTTAATGACAGTCTGTGTTCAGCACAAAAGATTCTCCTGAGTGAAATAAATCCAGAG